GAAATAAGGTATTTGCAATGAATAAGTCATTGCTCTTGCAAAATTCTATCATGTGATCTCCAGCATCATTTTTATCACCAAGCTCATAGTTTCTAACTACTGATTATTCCTTTTTTTTCCAACATTCACATTCCAATTGCTAGTGATTATCAATGCAATTTGATCACATGCTTGACCAATTTCACACTGAAGAAGCTGGTAGAATTCTTCAATTTCATCATCACTGGCTTTAGTGGTTGGTTCTAAATTTGAATAACAGTTACATTAACTGGTCTTCTTTGTATGTGTATGAATATTATCCTATCACAGACAGCATAGTTCTTCAAGATATGTTTTGGAATACTCATTCTGACGAATATGAAGTCATTTCTTTTCAGTTTTTCCTGCCTGTCATACAAAACCATATGGTTATTCAATTCAGAATGACCAATACCTATCTGTTTCAGCTCATTAACACTTAGAATATTTGTCTTTATGCATTCCATTCATTTTTTATGACTTTCAGTGTTGCTAAATTCATACCTCTTATGTTCTGAGTTCTGATTATTAATGGATGTTTGCAGCTGTTTTTCATTTTGAGTTGTGCCACATCAGAAAATGAAGGTCCTGAAAACTTTGTTCCACTCACTTCATTATGATCAATTCTACTTTGAGGATGCAGTTTTTCCCCAGTCATATTATGAGTGCCTTCCAACCTGCGGGTCTCATTTTCAGGCACTGTATTTCACAATATTCTGCTGCTATTCATAAAGTTTTCAGAGGTTAACCCTCAAAGTGGTCCATCCCTCCTTCTTCCTAATCTGTTTTTGTCTGGAAGTTCCACTGAAACTTGTCCACCATGGGTGTTATGTAAAATATCAGTGGAATAGCTTCCAGCATTACTGCAACACAGAATCCACCACAGGTGAGTGGTGGAATAGGGTAATATAGGTAATATTTACATTGTGTTTGTACTAAGAGCCATGTGTGAGTTAGGTATTGTTATTATTATTTTCATTTTACAAATGGTGAAATTGAGCACAGGAAATTAAGGAGACTTGTTCATGGTAACAGATCAATGAAGTAGCAGAGCTGGAATTTCAACACAGAATCTAGTTTCAGAGCTTATCCACTTTGTATATCACTGGAATTGACTCACTATTATTTTGTTTAGTAATTTTACATCTATTTTCATGAAATGAGATTGGCCTGTAATTTTTTTCCTTTACTTTTTTCTATTTTAAATATGAAGATAATATTAGCTTTACAAAGAACTTGGTAAAGTTCCCTCCTTTTATATTGTCTAGTAGAGTTTATATATGAGAAATTATCTGTTTCTTGAAACATTGGAGGAATTTACCCCAAAAACCATCTGTGTCTGTATGTTCTTCCAAACTTCTAGGGGCGAAGGGGATGGTGAAATTTTACTTACTATTAATTCAGGTACTTTAATTTTTATTGGCTAGTCAGGCATTCTATTTCTTCTTAAAACAGTTTTTATAAATTGTATTATTCTAGAAATTTGTTTAAGTCTTAAGTTTAAGATAATGTATTAACATAAAGTTCATTATAGTATTCTTTTATTGTCTTTTTAAAAAATCACATCTAGATGCATAGTTACAGGCTCTTTTTCTTTCTTAATTATTTATTTGTGCCTTCATTTTTGTTCCCTTGATTAATCTCGCCAAATATTTGTTTTCTTTATTATTCCCAAAGGAATGATTTTTGGCTTGGTTATCTTTTTCTAGCTCATAAGTTTATGTACTTTATTATCTTTTGCTCAGATTTGGGAGCTGTTATTGCATTGTTTTGTCTCTAATTTCTTATGTGAATTTATTTGAATTTCAACCTTTTTAAAATATATAAATATTTCAAACTATAACTTTCCCTCTAAGTATAACTTTATCTGTACCCCAAGTTTTAATGTATATATATTTTTAATTTGTTTTTTTTTAGTTTTATAGGGTTTTTTTGTTCTAAATATTTTAGTTTTTTGGGTTTTTTTTTTTTTTTTTTAAATTTTGAATGGATGGAGTTATATCTTTTGTTGTGAGTCCTAATTTAACTGCAATATTATTAAAAAACCTAATCTGTATAATGTCTAATCTTTGAAATCTACTGAGACTTGCTTTATGACTTTAGACCATTCTATTTCTAAATGTTCTGTATGTGTTCCCAATATTTGATGCAAGCTTCTATATATAAAGCTTGTTCATTAGACTTTCAAAATCTTTATTTTTACTGGTTTTTGTCTGCTTGGTTTTTATTTTAATGATTTGGAAATTGAAACTTTCCATTCTGTTGATAAATTTTCTCTGAAGTTTTAGCAAGTATTTTAAAATATATTTTGAGACTATCTTTTGAAATGCACAAATGTTTAGAATGGTGTTTCTTCCTAGTGAATTGAATATTTTATCATTGTCTTGTGACATTCCCTACCTTTTTTGGTATTAAAGTTTAGATTTTGTTTTTTAATCCAGTATAGCAAACTCTGCCTTTAACTGGTTCTTTTCCCTTTTGTATTTATTTTTAATGTGAGTTAAGCATTGGGCTGCTGACTACAAAGTTGGGGGATCAAACCAACCAGCCACTCAACTGGAAAAAGATGCGGTTATCTGCTCCCATAAACATTTTCAATCTTGGAAACCCTAAGGACCAGTTCTACTCTGTCCCATTGGTTCATGAGTCATAATCAACAGCAGTGAGTTCATGTACTGGAAATATCTCTACTATTCTGCCTATTGCTTTATATATGTTATGTTCTTTCTATGTTACTGTTTTTCTCCTTTATTGCTTTTAAGTAGTTTTTTGTGTTTTCTTGTTCCTGTTTTACACTCTACTATTTCTAGTCTTTTGTTGTAATTACTCTTAAATTTTACTGTATATATTTAACAAAGTCTAATTTTATAACTTAACCACCCCCCAAACAACTTAAGGAACTTTAATTACAATTACTGTTTCCCAGTTTATATACTGTTATTCACCAGTATTTTAGTTTCATCTTTTCTGTTTGCCCTAAAATTTTCACGTTTTTGTAATACAGTCATACAGAGATAGGATTTTGTTATGTTTACATTCATATTTATCAGTTTCTTAGCCTGCCATTCCTTCTCATATATCACACCTTCCTTCTAAAATAATTTTTCTCTCTCTCGAAATAAAACTGTAGTGAATCCTTTCATACAGATATGGTTGTGGTAAGTTCTGTTATTTTTGTTTATATGATGTTGTTATTATGTTAGCCTCTTACTTGGAAAATAATTTTTCTGGCTATACAATTATTGTTGTTAGGTACCATCAAGTCGGCTGTGACTTGTGAGACATTATGCACAACAGAACAAAAGATTGCCCAGCATGAAAAAATCTTCATAATTGTTGTTACGCTTGAGTCTTGTTGCTGCCACTGTGCCAATTCATCACATTGGTGGTCTTCCTCTTTTTTACTGACCCTCCACTTTTCCAAGCATCATGTCCTTCTCCAGGGACTGATTCCTTCTGATAACATATCCAAAGTATGAGAGAAAAAGTCTCACCATTCTGGCTTCTGAGAAGCATTCTGACTGTACTTCTTCCAACATAGATTTGTTTGTTCTTCTGGCAGTCCATGGTTCTTTTAATGTTCTTCTCCAACATTGTCACTCAAATGCATCAGTTCTTCTATGATCCTCTTTATTCTTTGTCCAACTTACACTTGCATATATGAGGCCATTGACAGTACCATGGTTTGAGTGAGGTGTACCGTAGTCTTCAAATTGACATATATGGTATTAATTATTTTTTTATCTACTTGAAAATATTTTTCACATTCATTGTTGTTTCTTAGATGTCTACTCTTATTCTAATTATCTTTTTGTGGTGATTTGCTTTTTTGTTTTTGTTTTTGTTTTTAAGATCTTGGAGTTATATAGTTCCTTTATTTTTTTAAGTTACTGAGTTTGGATTTATTTTTCTTGCTTAAAAATGGTAGATTCATGTAATTAATTTTAGCAATTATATATTTTTTTATTTCTTTAAAGATTTTTGGTTTTTATTTTTTTTTTCAAATCTGCCAGATCATTTTTAATAGATTTTGTTGTTGTTTTCTCCCAGTTTTATGGTGTCCTTTTTCATTTCTTCAAATATTTTATACATAACAAAAAATTTTTATCTGATCATTTTAATACTGAATACCTTTGGGGTTTATTGCTCGTCTTTGTTATTTTTGTAGCTTGCTTATTGTGGTTTGTTTCTTTTTATATTTAGGGATTTTAAATTGTGAACTCATATTTGTGTGCTCTTCATGTGTGGGGAAAAAAAACAACAAACAAACCCTAAATTTCACTGAGGCTCTTTTCCTCTAATAAGGATTTGCATTTTCTTCTACTGAATGCAGGTGTTTCTTCTGACCTGAGTTCACTTTAGACCCATTGCCATCTAGTCAATTCTGACTCATAGCAACCTGTATAGGGTTTCCAAAGTTGTAAATCTTTATAGGAGCTAAAAGCCTCCTCTTTCTGAAACTGCAGAGCAACTAGTAGGTTTGAATTGCCAAATTTGCAATTATCAGGCCATTGCTTACCCTGCGTACCACTAGAGCTCCTTGAGTCCACTTAAGCCCCTCTAAGTTTAGCTGTACAGTTTGAGAGTTTCAGATTTAACTTTTCTTTCTTTGCTGTTGACCCACACCATATCAAGGGCATCCTTGTATTTATAGTTTATAGTCACGCTGTGTAATTGAGAAGGAAAAAAACAGACAAATGTCCATTAAATTTCACAAAATTTTAAGTTTGGCCATATATTTCATATCCCTGTAATCCTTATCTAATCGGCCGTTCCTTCTCATTTACCAATGTCACTGTAAGAGATTAAGAATATAAACCGAACACCATGCCCTAAATACGGGTTTTAAAGCAGTTCATTTTATTTTGTCCTAAGGTGAATAATTTTGGCTCTCCTTGACTTCATAATAGCCAGTTTGATGGCTAGATTTGGTCTTTAGCTTTGCAGAATTGGTAACTTATATTCTTTTTACAAAACTGTAGGAACTAGTCCAGGCTAGTGAGCGATTAAAAAACCAATCCAAAGAGCTGAAAGACGCACACTGCCAGAGGAAACTGGCCATGCAGGAATTCATGGAGATCAATGAGCGACTAACAGAATTGCACACCCAAAAACAGAAACTTGCTCGCCATGTCCAAGATAAGGAAGAAGAGGTGGACCTGGTGAAACAAAAAGTTGAAAGCTTAAGGCAAGAACTGCGCAGAACAGAAAGAGCCAAAAAAGAGGTTAGTAGTCAGGCAAATTTCCTAGTGATTAAAGCTGTTTTTCAGACTAGTGAAGTAATAAATACTTCATTCCTGAAAAAAAAAATTTTCAATTTGGTAATATTCAATATGAATTTTGACATTTGAGTTTTTTTCCTGTTTCAAGGCAAATTTCCATGGGGAAAACATTATTTTATTTGAAAACCAATTATAATCATGAATTCTGCATTCATTTTATTTTAAAGCTGGAAGTTCATACAGAAGCTCTAACTGCTGAAGCATCTAAAGACAGGAAGCTGCGTGAGCAGAGCGAGCACTATTCAAAGCAACTGGAGAATGAATTGGAGGGACTGAAGGTATGTTTTGATTTCTTAAGTTTAATTTTCTTCTCTTTTGGCCTGATAGGTGCTTATGTATTCTCCTCATTGCAGATTGAAAACTACCTGATCTTTCACACCTAATACAGGAACATACTTCTCATTCTTACCTTTCGGAGGCAGGTATAACATATACATATGCTGTTAAGTACGGTCAAATCAGTTCCAACTCATAGTGGCCCTATATAGGGTTTCCAAGGCTCCCAATCTTTGCTGGAGCAGAAAGTCTCATCTTTATCCCTCAGTGACTGGTAGGTAGGCTTGAACCACCGACCTTGAGGTTCAGAATCCAATGTTTATCCTATGGAGCGATCCTATAGGACAAGGTAGAACTACCCCATAGGGTTTTCAAATTTGTAATTCTTTATGGAAGCAGACTGCCTCCTGTTTCTCCCATGGAGCAACTGGTGAGTTAGAACTGCTGACCTTCCACTTAGCTGCTAAGCCCTTAACCACTGTGCCACCACAAATCCCCTAAGAGGCTGAAAGAGACTCCCTAATCAGGCTGCAAGGAAAGGGAAGATAGGTTTATTGGGGAGAAAAAAATCTGTCAGGAAGGAATTAAAATAGTTATGAAGAGCTGCCTATCTTAGAAGATGCAGTGGTAATCTGCCTGCGAGAAGTAAATAAAGGTCCAGATCCTCTGTAGATACTTAGAGGTTCATTTGTAGCTTTGCAGACTCACGTATTGGAATGAGATCATAATGGGTATCCGCTGACAATTCTGAGGAGAAGTTGGCTTTGCAAGGGAAATTTTTGTGCCTACTCTGGAGCTGGGCTGTTTAATTTTTACTCCTGGCTTACCAGTTACAAGCTATGTAATATTGGACAAGTCATTTAAACTGTGTCTAAACTGTCTTATTTGTAAAATTATCATATCAGTTACATGTTAGAAATGCAAATATTCATGTACAAAATGACGTGTCATAAATGCTCAGAAATTATTAGCAACAGGCATACCTCACAGGTATTGCAGGTTCAGTTCCAGACTATTGCAATAAAGCAAATACCACAATAAAGTGAGTCTCACAATTCTTCTTGTTTCCCAGTGAGTATTAAAGTTATGTTCACACTATACTGTAGTCTATTAAATGTGTGGCAAAAGTTTGAAATATTGTGAGAATTACTATACTGTGACACAGAACCACAAAGTGAGCACATGGTGTTGGAAAAAGGGTGTCCTGGTGTGTTCCTAGAGGATGATGCCCTGGATTGAAAGGTTGCTTTGAATCTCAAGGCCAGCAGTTCAAACCCACCAGCTGCTCCTCAGAAACCCTAGACAGGGTCGCTATGATTAGGAACCAACTCAACGGCACTTAGCAAAAACAGCTCAACGATATGTTGGCCATGGGGTTGCCGCAAACCTTCAATTTGTAAAAATTCAGAATCTGTGAAACACAATAAAAGGAAAATAATAACAGAGGTTAGTTAGCTTGGATGATAATAATATTAATTTAAAATATTAATTAATAGTAGTAGTAGTATGCATGTCCAAGCAAGAGAATAGGATTAAAATTGGTCTATCTGCTGCTACTGTGATGCTGTAGGATAAGTACAGGATTACTAAACACAAGGTTGGCAATTCAAACCCACCAGCCATTCCTCGGAAGCCCCATACAGAGTTGCTATGAGTCAGAACCAACATGACAGCACTTAATAACAACACAACAACTGCCTCTAAGTCTATTCTGACTCATAGCTGCCCTACATAAGGTTTCTGAGACTCTAAGTCTTTATGGAGCAGCTGGTAGGTTTGAATCACAGACCTTGTGGTTAGCAAGCCCATGTCTAAACCATACTGCCACAGTTTAAAGGAGTCCTGCTTTCTAAAATGGATTTGGCATCTGCTTTTTTTTCTTGACTTCAGAACTTTGTTCATCCTCTTTCTTCTGTACCAGCTACCACAGCTAGTTTAGGGTCTTATTCACTTAGAAAAATATAAGAAACAACTTGACTATCATCTCCAAAGCTCTAGATACCCTTGCTTCTATGCTGTTTTAAAATTCTGTAGTATTTCTAGCTTTGCACTTATAATTGTTTATTCACATACCTCTCTCTCCACCTAAACTGTCAACTAGCTTAATGAAAACAAAGGAAATTATTAACTTGGCACAGGACCAGATATTTAGTAGTTGTTCAATAAGTTTGCTAAATCAGTAGATGAAATTTGTGGTAGAATTATGAAAGCTAAAGTATTTCTCTGACAATTCTCTGGCACCTAACACCAAAATGCTTTTTGAGAAGTCATTATATTACCATTTCAACTAGTTTTCAGTTCAACCCTAGTATGTTTCCAGAGTACAAACTGGAAGAAATTTTAGAGATAATTTATATTTGAGGAAATTGAGACCCAGAAATGTTGCTCATTTGTGAAATACAAGCTATAAAATGAGGAATCACAGGGATGAAATAGATAACTGTTGTTGCAGCAAAGAGGTTGTAATCATTAAGAAGAAACAAAGTGTATATTTTGTTGACTGTAAAGCTGATGACTTTGGCTATAAATGTTCAAAATAAAAAGTTTAAAAATGACTATACACGTGCACCTCACCAGAATATATATTCTCCCAGCAGTTCTGGGTTGGCCTGCATGTTGTTTCAAATGTATACATCCCATTTCAGAAGGGGATCAGGATTCCAGCTAAGGACCCATACTCTACAAAGTTTTAACAAGAAGCCTATTTCCCTGGGCAAATCCTAACTCTCCCTTTTAATAAATTCCGTCAGCTATAGCCTGAAGGTGGGCCTACACTTTCTGTGATCATAATGCCCAATATTCATTTCTGTCACACATTAATGTGTATTTTACAATAGTAGTAAGGAAAAACCTATATCCACACAGTAGACAAACACATAACCCTTTTTTTTTTCCATCCCTTGCCCATTCAACGTACATGTCAATCCATGTATCTACATACAGAACACTGTTGTTCCAGTGTTGAGTTTATATCACTATATGCCTCTATCCCATGTAGCCCAATCCTACCTCTCTGTGTCTTCATTATTCATCTGTCAACCTCTCTCTTCTTGAATATTCCCCTTCCCCTTCTTACAAATCCCCCCCCCCCCGCTAACACCTGAACAAACATGTGTCTAGTGAATTATTCTGTCTAGCTAGTGAATTATTCTACCTTCCTCCCACCCCTGGTAAACATCAAAGAATGTTTCTTGTAGTCTGGAAAAGCATTTCTTAAACTTTTACAATAATGATCTTATACAATATTTGTCCTTTTGTGATTGACTAATTTCACTCAGTATAATGTCCTTCAGATTTATCCATGTCATTAGGTGTTTCACAGATTCATTGTTATTCTTCAAGGTTGTATAGTATTCCATTGTGCATATGTAACAAAGTTTATCCATTTTCCATTGATGGGCATTTAGGCTTTCTCCATCTTTTTGCTATTGTGAATAGTACTCTGATGAACATCACTGTGCATACCTTGCTCATATTTCTTGTGCATGTATACCAAGTAGAGGGATTGCTGGGTCATAAGATATTTCTATGTCCAACTTTCTGAGGAAGCACCATACCATTTTCCAGAGTGGTTGAACCATTTTACAGTCCTACCAACAATGTGGAATAGTTCCAGTCTCTCATCATCATCTCCAACATTTGTTGTTTTCTGGTTTTTTAAACTTCACTGTTAGTGCTGGTATTGAATGATATATCATAGTTATTTTGATTTGCGTCTCTCTAATAGCTAATGATCATGAACAGTTCTTCATGTTTGTTGGCTGCCTGAATGTCTTTCCTAGTGAAGTATCATTCATATCATGTGCCCATTTTTTAATTGGATTGTTTTGTCTTTTTCTTGTGAAGGTGTTGTTGTTGTTGTTAAGTACCATCAAGTCAGTTCCATTTCATAGCTACCCTTTATTAGGGTTTCCAAGCAGCAGTTGGTGAGTTTGAAACACCTGATCTTGTGGTTCAAACCAACCTTGCTGTCCAGTACTATATCCCATCGTGCCACACCAGGACACCATAGGTATTGTCGTTTTCTATAAATTTTAGATGCTAGTCCCTTGTTTGATAACATAGTTGGAAATATTTTTTCTAATCTGGATTCCCTTTTTACTCGTTTGTTGAAATATTTTGATGCACATAAGTTTCTAAGAGGTACCAGTCATCTTATTTTGTCTTTTACTATGTGTGAGTTTTTTGTAATGCTTAGTAGTATATATATGCCATGTTTTAGAGCCCCTAAATTTGTCCCTATTTTTTGTTGATGGTCTTTATAGTTCTGGGTTTTACATTCAGCTCTTTAATCCATGTTGAGTTTGTTTTTATATATGGTGTAATATACTGGTCTTGTTTCATTCTTCTGCAAATCAGTTTCCAGTTTTGCCAGCAGCATTTGTTGAAGAGACTGTCTCTTCTCCATTTAATGTTTTGTTCCTTTGTCAAAGAACAGTTTGACTGTATGTTGATGGATTTACTTCTGGGTTCGCAATTCTGTTCCATTGATTTATATATCTTTCTTTCTACCAGTACCAACCTGTTTTGACCTCTGTGGCTGTGTAGTAAGTTTTGAGATCAGGGAGCATGAGGCCTCTAACTTCTGCTCTTGGCCACCAGCTCTTAGTCCTTCTCTTCTTAGTCCATGTATCTAGAGTCCTCAGCCGCTACCCTTCCCTACGCCCCCATCTCTGCCTCCATCTCCTACGCTGCTGTTTCTCTGGACAAGGTCCCGCATTCTGCATGTGTGATCCTCTCTTGATGTTCCTAGGGTCCTCTGTTAAGATTAACTGCTCACCGTTTTTTGTTAAAAAAAACTTTTACCTTTACAATTGTGACAGTAGCAATTAGTCATGATAAAAATTATTCACTATGAATCTTACAAATCTTATCCCCATCTCTTTTCACCAGACCCATCTAGACAAGATGAGAGCTATTCAGTGGGGACTCTTTCTATCCCCCCATACTCTTAAACTGAACTCCCTCTTGTAAGCTTACAAACCTTGTAAGCCAGTCAGTT